CTGTTGGGACCGGGACATAAGGTTGGGGGAGAAAGGGGACTGGGTTACAGCAGGGAGGGGAAGTGTTTGGCTCTGGGGAGGGGGATTGGGTTGGGAGTATGTCCCTGGATGGGTCTGCTGGGACCTGCACTGCGTCCAGTGAGGGGGAATCAGTGGGGAATGATGTGGCAAGCAGCAAACCCTCCTTTGCAGGGAGGTGGGGGAAGCCCTGCGCAGCCACCGGCAATGGGCTGGCTGGGGGAATCGTGTTATTCCGGGGATGGTCATGTAATTCAAAAAACGTTCCCCCCCCAAAAATCGTGCTATTGTGAAAACATGTTAAGCGGGCACATTAGATGAGGAATTACTGTATTTCCTTATTCTATTTTTCCACACCATTTATGATTTTCTAGACTCTATTATATTCAGAACCGGCCCAAGCAATTCTTGTGCCCGGGGCCCTGTCCCCAGGCGTGCGGCCCCACCCGGCCTGGCAGCACCATGTGGCGCTCCTTACAATCAGGAGCCCCAGGTTATCGCCCTGTTATCCCATGGCTTGGGCCAGCTCTGGTTATATTCCCTCACCCTTTAGTCATTTCTTTTCCAAGCTGAAAAGTCTGTCTTGTTAAGCTCTCCATATTTACCCCCTAATCATTTTTGTTGCCCTGTCTGTACCTTTTCCAAATACAATGTATCTTTTTTTAGTCTGGGTGACCAGATCTGTATACAGTATTCAAGATGTGTGAATACAGTGTTTTATAGAGAAGCAATATGTTCCTTTCTTAATGATTCCCAATATCCTGTTAGCTTTTTAGTTTGTAGATTGCTACTGCACATTGAACAAATATTTTCAGGGAACTATCCACCAGGATTCCAAGATCTCTTTCTTGAGTGATAACAGCTACTTTAGACACCATCATTTTTGTATGTATAGTTAGGATTTTATTTTCCCATATGTATTAGTTTGCACTCATTAACACAAATTCCATCTGCCTTTGTGTTGGCCCATCACCCAGTTTTCTGAGATCCCTTTGTAACTCTTTGCAGTCAACTTTGGATTAATCACGGTGTGCCCCTTTTTCAAGAACATTTATGAGAAGTTTAACAGCAGTGGTCCAAATGTAGATCCCTGCAGCACAACACTTATTCCTACTTTTTTTCTCCTATCTTTTAAGCGGAGTACCAAGCAATATTTTTATTATTATTGAGCCTTCAATTGCTTGAATGCCCAGCCTTTTGTTATTCTTAATCACCCTGTCTCAGGGGCAGCCCGTGAGGCTAGGCAGACTAGGCGGTCGCCTAGGGCACCACCAACCCGGGTGCCCGTGATGACGTCACAGCCATTGATGGCATGCAGGCGGGGGCACTGATCACACCTTCTGCCTGGAGTGCCAGCTGCTGCAGCCTGCCTCAGGCCACTCCTGCCCTGTCTCCCTCTTTTTTATAACAAACTCCCTGTCCCAAAGGCAAAGCTGCAAGCAGCTTATATCTGTTGCATTTAAAACCTGCCTTTGGAGTTAGGACAGGGGCTTTAAGCAGACCTTAAATATGAAATCCAGGGGTTCAGACTCAGCAGGGCTACTGCTGCTCAAGCCCCCCATAAATGGCACCCTTGCATTCCCTGTGCATGACCCTGCATATGCTTTAACTACAACTTCAGCGTAGAGAAACAATTAGACTAGTGGGATTAAGGATGTGAACATAGTGGAGGGGGGAAAGAGCAGGGGGTGCTTCAAAGTGGCAGCGCTGCATGGAGGCTGGGGTCAGCTGCAGATTCAGAGTTCCCAGCTGATCCCGGGCTCCATGCAACACTGTCGCTTTGAAATGCTGCTGGGAGCATGGGACCAGCAGGGGAGTGGGGCTGTTGTTACACTTGAAAAGTGGAGGCACCCTTATCAACTAATTGAATAGTCGATGCAAATTGCATTGACTATTTGATTAGCCAATTAATCTAAACTTAACATCCCTAGCTGGGATTTTCCTATGCCCCAACAAAATGCCCCTCCCTCTCTGCCAGGGGCTTAGATGCTATTCTGCCAAGCACCTGCAAATCTGTCCCGCTCCAGCAGGGCTGAGCAGCCCACCCTGTGCCTCAGCTTCTATGAGAAGGGTTAGCTGTAATTCTGGGAAAGTCAGGCCAGAGACAGGAGCTCATTCTGCCAGGCACTGCACAAACACAGCCCATGCCTCAGGGAGTCAAGTCCTCCCAATGCAGGTGAGGAGACAAGACTGGATACTGACACGATGAGCACAAGTAGCATATTGAGCTGCAGTCTCAGCTCATCGCTAGCTTTGCATTTTAGCCCAGTAAACGATTCTAAGGTTGGATTAGAGGGAGCTCAATATGCTTACTTAAAATTTATTTGCAGGGTGCTCCCTTGTTTAGGTTTACTGCATGCCCCACTGCAATAGCCACATCACAGGTTAGTAAGCAAAAATGAAAGCCCTTGAAGATCCCCAAACGCTTGATAGGTGATGGAATTACTTTTTGTCACATGGCCTTCCTAGGATAGAGGTGCAGTGCCAGTTCTCCCCCTGCCTCCAGGAGGGCCCCTAGTGCCCCTATCAGGCTATCACCCATACAATAGCTACCTTTTTTCAACAAAATTCAAGAGAATTTTTGCAATCTTTATCTCAGCATTTCAATTCAGCTGCATTGCTGACACCTGTGGCAGTTGCCCCCTTCTGCAGTGTAGATGCAGCCCCATTTTACTCAGAGCCTGGGAATCATCCAGAACTATCCCACAAATTCGTGGGACAACTTCTATAATCCTCTTAAAGGATGATGCTTACTGGTTCTGATTAACTGGTAATCAGAGGGGGCTGGAGCAGCTCCCCATCTGCTTCAGGAAAGGGGCTGCTCCAGGCCTGCTGCAGACAGCGGTTGCTCTCGTCCAGATCAGCCTGTCTCTGGGGAACTTGGGGGCCCTCACAGGCAGGAACTGTACCAGTGTCCAGAGCAGCCTTTCTCCATGGGGAGTCCAGCTTGCTGTGAACAGGGCCTGGTCCGGAGTGGGCTGGGAGCCGGCGGCAGCCCCAGTGTGACCGAATATTAACCTTTTAACTAATGGGAATTTATTGCAACTGCATTTTTTGAAGTTACTGCAAAATTATCAAGTGTCCTCTGTTTCCACAAGCCAGAATAACAATACTGAACTAATCATGACAATTACAGGGTGGAGAAGACCATGTCACTAACCCTCACCACCACTGCTTGCAAGGTACATTGCCCATGGAGATCGATGGGGCTGGGCTATTTTATATGTAATACTGAGAAATGTATATATCAATACCATGTTGGCAATGCCTATATTATGTAAAATAGTGATACAAATGTAGCCGTGTTAGTTTGGTGTAGCTGGAACAAAATACAGGACTATTATGTAAATAATACCCAATAATTGCCAAATGAGACCACTTCCCAACCTGCTTACAAAGCACCTGATCCAATTTAATTTTAAACTAGGATTGGGCCCAAAGCAATCTGTTGATATTACCCAAGATCCAGGTAATATTTAGTCATCTTTCAAAAAATATAAGGGACCAGTCCTTCAAAGCCCCACTACCTGATAGAGGTGATCTTTGAAGAAATTTGGAGAAACTTTGAATTTACTTCTTCTGATAGCAGCACTCTCTCTCACTGGACGTGGGGTCTTTAGCACAGGATTCACTTTGTGTCAGAATAATTCAGAAATGTGTTGTCACAGCTAACTACATTAAAGTCTAGGCAACGTGCAGCCCAAAGACCGAAGAGCAAATCCCTTGAAGCTGAAAGTCAAAACATCTCACAAAGGGTTTGTTCACCATGACAAAACTTTCTCTGGAGAGAGATGGTACATCTTGCCTCCCTGTGGATGCACCAAGTGTTTTCACATGGCATCTTAACACGTTTAAATCATCAATTGCTTGGATGAGGAAAACTCACAAGGAGTCTGTCCATCATCCACACTGGAGTGACACAGTGATTTCATCATCATGGTAACAGGCCCGATCTCCCTCTGGGCTCTTCTGGAGCAACCGAGAGCCTGGAAAGGGCTCTCGGGGACAGAGGCCAGGGTTACCTCTATTTCAGTGATTCTCAACCTTGTTGAGCCAGGGAGTACACAGGCCAATGTAAACCTTTCCATGGACCACCAGTTGCTAATGGAAACTCACTGTTAATTACATCATTACATCTGAGCCATTTTTCCAGTGCTGCAGCTGGGAAGAATGGTTTAATATAAATTATTAAACAGATTAAGCATTTTAACTCTCTCATGTTGGTTTATCAAACTTCATTTTAAATAAAATAAAACATTAATTTATGTCCAACACAAAATGTTTTAATGTTTTCTTTATAACAAGGGTGGGGAACATTTCTTTGGGTCAGCAGCTATTGATCCACAGAAAAATCAACTGGGGACCACACAAGTGAAAAGCAAAAGAACTCCCCAAATCCCCAACCCTCACCAAGGTGGCCCCCAACTGAGACACCTCATTCTTCATTCCAGCTCCAAGGGGTGAGGGGAAGGGACAGGGAAGACTGAGGTTCAGGTCTTTTCATAGGTCAGATTTACTTTTCTGGTAGATTTTATGGAGCCCCCATAGGTTCTGGGGTGGGAACAAAAATGAGGGGTTCAGTATGTGACACAGGGCTGCCAGAGAATGGGATAGGGATGGGGTGCAGATCTGGGAGGAAGATGGGGGGCAGGAGAGGGAAAGGTTGTGAGGTATGGGTGGCAAGTAGGGTGCAGAAGCAGGCTGGGAGTAGGGTGTCTGGCTGGGGGAGGTAGCAAGAGCAAGGAAGGGTGCCGTGTGTTGCCAGGAGGGAGGGTGCAAGAAGAATAGTGAATCAAGGAGCAGACTGGAAGTAGGGTGTCTGGCCAGGTGGAAGAAGGCAAGAGAAAGGGAAGGTGTGTGTGGCCAGGAGGGAGGGTACAGGAGCAAAGCAGGGAACAAGAGCAGGCTGGGGATAGGATGCGTGGCCAAGGGGGAAGGGGGGTTGCCCTCTTCCCATCCCCTGCCTAGCTGGGAGGTGGGCAGTCTCTTTTCCCCTGCCTGCTTCCTCCCACCCCGGGTGCCCAGCCACTTGCTTGGGTTCCCCACGCTCCTACAGGCAAAGCCTCCCGCTTCTTCTATTGGCTGGATCCCCAGCCGCAGGGAAGTCCTGGGAAGCATCTGAGTCCTCCCCCAGGGAGGGAATGGAGAGCAGGAGGAGAATTAGCTGTGCAGCTGCTTCTTGCTGCTTTAGGAGCCCCAGGACTTTTTTTGGGACATTTTAGAGCTGCACGGGGCACCCGGGACAGCACATTAAAATTTGGGACAAACCCAGATTTTGGGGGCCATAAGGTCAGCATAGCTATGTAAGATCTCTCATTATCCCACATACAACTGCGTGCGTGAGACTCTTATAAGAAATGAAAATCTGGAAGATATGCAAAACATTTCTTTTTTCCTGCTTTTAATAAATCTTGTTTGTATTAAGATAACCACTATAGGAGAAATTGCACACTGACATCTCCAGGGAAGAAGATCATATAAAAAAAAAGCTGCCAAAGCGTAAAGCGTGTCTGGAACCTATTCCAGTCAAGGGGTATGGACACAAATGTTCTCTCAGTAAGTTATATTGCCATCAGGCTGCTGCACGCTAAAACAGAGGAAAAACATACATAAAAAGGAGAGAGAAGACTTGGCATCACTGTTTGGCCAGTTTTATATATAAGAAATAATTCTGACAGATCATCTTAACACTGGAATTTATTAAAAACATTTTTTACAAAATCCAAAGTTAGCAATATAGCAAGATTATTTGTGTTTTTCACCTTTTGTTCTAGTCACGCTTTTTGGTCTCTTTGTTTTCTTTTTCAATGGGGTTGCTTTTTCACCAGCAAATGAATTGCTGGAACATTTTTTTGTATTTTTTAATGAAGTATCAAATCTGTGCTTTGAACCAGAAAGTTTTACATTGTCTGAGCTTTTCTGTTTTTTCTCCTTCTCAACACAGCGATTCACTCTAAGCCTTCTTCCCTTCAGTTCAGAGTTGTTTAGTTTCAAAGCAAGATGTACAGCATCTGTATTCTATGAAATCAAAAACATTAATTTTGAAGGTTAACAACTGGACAGACACTACACGTAGGACTTCCCTGGTCCAGCACCCTTGGGGCCAGGCTGGTCCTGAATCAGGGAGTATACCAGCCAGAGGGTCAATACAGGCCTCTGCTTCTCCCTGCCCCTACTCCAATCCCAGCTGTTGGCTCAGCTCTCTGATCCAGCAACATCCATGGTTCTGCTATGCTGGTTTTCCCTGTGAGTGCTCCAATACCGGAGAACACACAGGGTCCCAACGATGTTAGACTATGGATGTTGCCAGACCAGAGAATCCTGGACTAGAAAGATTCAACCTCTATCTATAATTTCTGAAATCTTTTGTATACATTCTGCCTATATAAAATAAAAAAATAGACATCAGTCTGGATAATACAGCATATATATTATGTTCAGGAATACAAACAGACTTGTGCACAATACACCGTTACTCTCTGACAAATACTAACGTTGAAAGCCTGACTTGTAGACTTATAGCCCATGGCCTGTATGCCACTTAGTACTTTCCATTGGACCCCCCAGAGAGTTCCACTTAAAAATCTAAAAGCATGCCACAACCCCATGCAAGGGAAATCAAAGGCCCAGTCCTAAACTCAAACCAGTAAGTAACAATATTCTTTGTGCAGTTCACAGAATCAGGTTTATACTTATACAGGGTTTCTATAGCTTGCTGTCAGCATATCTATAAGGAAGTCTCTATGATTTAATTAAGCGAGTTCCAAAGTAGTTGGGAAATATAATGCAATTTCTTATACCTATATCTGTATCTAAATTAAAAATTTTAATAGCATTTTCCAGAAAAAAAAAGGGGGGGGGGCAAGGTCCACAGAGCTGGCATGCACAGGAAGCTTACTTGGAAAGCCAGCTTCCTGTGCATATCAACTCCAGCCTGACCCACTCACCCTTTGGCCTGCTGCCTCTCTGATACAGAAGTAGCAGGGGGCGGCGAGAGTGCATTTAGTCAACAAGAATTACTGATAAACCTAAGCTTATTGGTTAATCGTGTATTTGACTACACTTGGACATCCCTAATACGGTACTTAGCAGTTTGTGTTGCATCTTAGTTTACACTGAATAACCCAGAGAAGTAACATGTCTTCCTATCTGTATGTAGGATGCAGCATATACGATAATTACTATGTTTAAGTCAAATACATAACAAGATTCAGGCAAACCTCCATTTAGTATTTGGAGAATTCCTGGTCCCCAAAATGTTTATCTTTCCGTACCTCAAACAGAATATAACCAAACCCTTTGCCAATGCCAGTGTTTTTGTCTCTCACAATTCGCACTGCTACTACATTTCCACAGTCAGAAAAGTATTCTCGCACAGTATCATCTTCAATTTCTGCAAGTAAGAGGAGTCATTGTATGGTTATATCAATAAAACAGACACAGCTGTAAGGAGTATTACCAAACATTCTGCTATAGTTTAAAATGTATATGCAGATATTTTAGACACTTTAGCTATGCAAATAATTTGATCTGACAGGAAATTATCTACATATTAATACATAAACTAGGACATTTACTGATATGTTAACTCCTTAGAAGCATAATATACTTGACTGAAGATGCTCCTGGTATAATTATGTCAGTAAAGTGTGAGATTTTTGAATTGATGTGTGCGTGTAGTTCTACTAGTACAGGTTATTCTTCCTCCTGTTGGTGAATAAACTATATTGCTCTAAACCTCTTCATACTGGTATAACTGCACCCACACTAGTGGGAATTGTTTTCCTTTAACTATAAAAGGTAAACTTAACAGGATTTTTGTAATCTAGCTTTTAAAATAGATCTAAAAGTTGGACCTAAGTAACTTGATTGTACTTCTCTAAAAATTCACTCAACAACCAGAACTGAAAATGACATTTTAGAAGCATTAAAGGAGAGGTTATTTAGCATTTACAGTAACAGGAATTCAAGGTGTCGTCTGTTTTGATGGATACTCCACTTCAGGTGCGCCGTTCATTCTGCCAAAATACCTTAAGCCATCCTCATTTCCTGTGCCGAGGATTTAAAGGGCTGCAACAACAAACCACCCTTGCTTCTTTGTCTACTGCAAAGTCCATAGACATGTGTGACGGCACGTTGGGGGTTCCCCGTCTCCTGCACCCCGAAATGGCACAAACAGACTGTACCAGCCAGTGGAATTGAGGGTGGTTTATTGCTCCTCCAGCACAGCGCAGCACAGATGTAATCTGGTTACAGGAACTGGGCTAGGATGCCTCAGGCCCCCTTGAGATGGGGGAGACTGGGCCCCTAAACTCCAGCTCCTCTCCCTAGGCTGTCTCATCCATCCTCACAGACAGCCACCAACCAACTAACCCACTTCCAGCCCTGCCCCCCAGCCAGGGCCGCATTCACCTTCCTTTGTTCCTCTCCATGGGGGGTGTCTGGCCACTGGTTCAACAAGTTTGGCCTTACCTCTGCCTAGTGAGGTTTTCCCTGCTGGGTCTTGCTCCAGACAGCAGAGGTCACCACATCCCAGCAAGTACCCCCACTACGTCACAACATGAAACTCCAAAACACAGTAGAAGGTGAGCAGCTAGTGGAGCACCCAGCAGGATAAAAATCTCAAAGAACTCTAATTTCTGTGAAAGGTAAGTAACTTCTTCAAATAATGTCCCTATTGGTGCTACATTTTAGCTGACTCTCAAGCAATGCTCCTTAGAGGAGCTGAGTACTTTATTAACAAGTAAAGAAATACTACTATCAATATAAGCTTAAATTTATTTTACATATACTGAAGAAATAAAATTATAGAATATTGAATGAATGTGAACATCCATTTAAACTTACCATATGAGAGATTTCCCACAAATACAGACCTCTTATTGTCATGCTAAACAAAAGCAAAACAAAAAACACAATAAATTGCCAGGTTATAGGTAAATATTAAAACATTTCTCTGAAATTGTGATTATTACTTACAGAAGTGGCTTTTGAAGCAAGGTCAACTCTGATGTGAAATCCACTGGCAATTTGAGTTCCATTTCTATTGTAGCACAAGAGAAAAAGGCATGCTATTAAAACATTATCAGAATTGACCAATGACTGACTAAAATGTTTGATTTATAAATGTTTGATTTACAACCTATCACTAGTTTCAAACATAAAGCATTTCTAACAAAAAATAGTTTAAAATAGTTAGACAAAAATTATTTTATTTTGAAACGCAATAAACTAGACAATTCGTGCTTGTAGTCTAACATCCTGTAAATCCATTCTCATAAAATATGCCATTAATGAGGAACACAAATGAAACATACCTCTTAAGAGCTTTCATGGCAGCGCCTTCTTCCTTAAAAACCACATACGCATTCATATATTTCATATTAGGATGCAGCTTATGCCTGCAGAGAAAGATAGAAAGTTTACCCACTTTGTATGCAATTTTCGTGGGTATTTTTTTCCCCTCCCCCACCCACTGCCACCCTAGTGCTGTGCATACATCACACAAACCTTGATGGAATTATAGGTAATGACTTCCGATCTCTAAAATATACAGCGAACCTGGAGATTGTGCCCCCAAATAGCAAGATCTACCACAACAGTCAAAAGGACTTTTACTCCTCTTTAACAGTCATCTTTCAAAGCAGTTCCTGCAATTTGCTGGGCATCCTCAACCTCCACTGAAATCCCCAAGAGTTGACAATCCTAAGTACCTTGCAGAATCTGGTCTTTAGTAAAGAGAAATACTTATGTAGTGGCAAATTATCTACTAAGGATGTTAAGGACTAATCGACTATCCGATAAGCAAATGCATATTGGATAGTCGAGATGACTAGTTGATTCCCCTTCCCCCCATGCTGTCTCTATGAGAAAAAGGCAGCAAAGGGGGGGGATGGGGAAGATGGGGTACTTCAAAGGGGCAATGACACGCAGCTGATCCCGGACTCTGTGGTGCTGTCCCATTGAAATACCGCCTCGGCATTTCAAAGCGACAGTGCTACACAGAGCTGACCCTGGGCTCCATGCAGCGCTGCCCCTTTGAAACGCCGTTATGGCATTTCTAAGGGGCAGTACCGCACAGAGTCTGGGATCAGCTGTGTGGCACTGTCCCTTGGAAACGTTGCTGCAGTGTTTCAAAATGGCAGCATCACATGGAGCCCGGGGTCAGCTGGGGACTCCCTAGCTGACCCCGGGCTCCCTGCGGCATTTCTGCAGAAACTGCAGTCAGCAAGGAGCCTGGGGTCAAGTGGGAACTTTGAAGTGCTGCTCAGAGCCTGGGATCAGCTGGGGAGTCCCCAGCTGATCCTGGACTCCCCGTGTCATTTCCACGAAACCTGGGATCAGCTGGGGAATTCCCAGCTGATCCCAGGCTCCAGCACAACATTTCAAAGTGCATAGAGCCCAGCTGACCCTGGCTCCACATGGTATTTCAAAGCAGAAGCACCCGCATGGAGCCTGGGGTGCTGCTCAGAGCCTGGGATCAGCTGGGGAGTCCCCAGCTGATCCTGGACTCCCCGTGTCATTTCCACGAAACCTGGGATCAGCTGGGGAATTCCCAGCTGATCCCAGGCTCCAGCACAACATTTCAAAGTGCATAGAGCCCAGCTGACCCTGGCTCCACATGGTATTTCAAAGCAGAAGCACCCGCATGGAGCCTGGGATCAGCGGGGGATGCTGACCCCAGGCTCCATTCAGGTGCTTCAACTTTGAAATGCACAAGCGCTCCCGCTGGGGTCTCTTGTACATTTCAAAGCTGGCATGCTGCATGCAGCCTGGGGCCAGCAAGAAGTCCTGCTGACTTGGGAATCCACGTGGGTGCTTCCGCTTTGAAATGCAGAAGAGCTCCCGGGCTGCACATGGAGTTCCAATTCTGAAATGCACAAGAGCCCAGTGGGGGGGTCTTGTACATTTCAAGGGGAGAATGCAAAAGTACCTTTCGACTAGTCACTGGAAATTCCATTGACTACTTGACTAGTAAATTAATCGTTATTTAACATCTTTATTATCTACATCAGTAAAGTTAACCTGTAGGAATTTAAGAAGTTTGTACCATGGAAATCATAAAATGCCAATTTTATACTGCTTTAGTGGCTTATTACAACAATCTGCAACACAATATCTCTCCTTTTGGCCTATGACTGCAGAAGTTTAACCGACTACTCTACCTTGAATGGTGCCTTACAATGTATGCTAATGGACTTATGCTAAAACATCTGCTCCACCATGCATTTTGTTATGACACTGGGATTTCCTTTCCCAACCCAAAGAAGAGGCTTGAAAATGTGTCTCTCTAATCAACAGAATTTGCAATAAAAGATCTCTCACCACCTTGTCATTTGATATACACACAGAGCTGACATTTTAAAAGATAAAACAATACAAATAAACATTAGGAAAGAAAAAATCATGTCTGTGTGTGTGTGAGAGAGAGACTATTAAAGCTAAAAAACTGTGCTTCTTGTAGTAATAAAATCTGAAATTCAGAGAAGAACTTACTTTATGGCTGCTAACTTTTTGGATAAAGTATCCTCTGCTGGAACCTTCAAAACAAACACAACAAAACAAAGCATTAGCTGAAAGGCTTTACTGTACTTATCAATATATTTCAAATATTTGTGCTTGAAAACTAAAGAGGAGGGAGGAAGTTTAACAGGTTTTTCCACACAAAGTAATATAGCCACTCACTCGGGCAAAATTATTCAAACAACAATTAGGGGGAATTCTATGGAAGACCTTAAAATTATAAAGAATAAGATTCAGTTAGTTTAGTTTATGTTTTTTGCATTCTAGCACTGTGATTTTAATCTATACACAGCACTGATTTACAATGAAATTTCTAGCTCTGTAAAATATCCTCTAAATCTTTGTTAAGGTATTTCAGCCAAAGATTATCTTTAACAAAACAAAGCAACAACATTTGAGACATTTTTCTCCCAAAGAGAACACAGTTATGATGCAGTAAAGTGATATTATAGGAAAAATAATGTGTGTTGTTAGCAAGACATACCATATAAGCCTAGCACTGCTCCAAAAAGCCTTACTTTAAGTACAGCCAGTCCCTGAGTTACGAACGAGTTACGGACCAAAAACCTGGCCGTAACTCGAATCCCATTGAATTACATGGTGACCACGCTGTTTGTAAGCGCGGATCGCATTCGCAACTTGGGGACCACATATATGACCGCTTTGGTCATAAATGGAGGTGGTTGTAAGTCAGAGACCGGCTGTATTTCTAAAGCAAGAAATATGGCTAGTGAATGAATAAGAATTACGAATGGTATCCTTTAACAGTGCACAACTGATTTCATCACAACATAAAAGAACATACCAAAGAACGGAATCGAATGGATTCTATCTCTCCATATTCTTTAAAAAGTGACTTCAGCATCTAAATAAAAATTACAAATGTATTTTCAGTCCATTTTTTCAACCCAATAACATGAATTACTGCTGAAGAAAGCATTTCTATTTCACTCACATAAGGGAGGAGGAATTAGGTGAACATTACAACATCCTTTCCAACCCTATAGTTTTTTTGAATTACTATTACCAGGGCTCGACAAATAATACAATCTTCTTGCCTGCGGCGAGTAGATTACAACCTGGAAGAGCCGGGTTCGGGCGATCTGCGCATGTGCAGATCGCCAGACAGCGCGGCTCGCAAGCGGGGCTCACCGCGGTTCGGCGAGCCCTGACTATTACTATACAATAGATAGGAAAAAAAGGTCAAAATAGCTTATAGAGCTTTTGCTATGCTAAAAGAACAATGCTGGGTAGTGATATAAAATTGGCTAATCGAATAGTCGATGCAATTTGCATCGACTATTTGATTAGTCAATAAGGGCACCTCCACCTTTGAAGTGTAGCAACAGCCCTAGGGCTGTTGCTACACTTCAAAGACAGAAGTGCTGCGGGGAGCACAGGGCTATCAGGGGTCTCAAGCAGTGCACCCACTGGCCCTGTGTTCCCATGGTGTTTCAAAGAGGCAGTGCCGCATGGAGCCTGGGGTCAGCAGAGGATTTCCCAGCTGATCCCGTGCTCCACGCAGCGCTGCTATTTTGAAGCACCCTCTCCTCTTTGCTGCCTCTTTCTGATAGAAGCAGCAAGTGGGGGTGGGAGGAAGTGACTAGTCGACTAGCATGTTGACTATCTGATGATTATTTGCTTACTGGATAGTCAACTAGTCATTTACATCCCTGATACAGAGTGCAAAAAACTGAATTCAGCACTCTGGCAGATTAAATACAAGGAACATCTGTAACAATGTAAAAGCATGATCCTTATTTATTTTCTGAAACAATCAAAATTATTCCTTGGGTTCCAAATTCTCTGCAGACTCCAGCTAATGAAAGAAAAATAAGCTGGTCTGGATTTAGCCCCTCTGACCTGCTTTCCCCCATGCTCTTGGTATTTATTTGAAATTTGCACATTAAACATAGTTAAATTCAAATTCAAAACCTCTACATATGATGGAGAAACTAGGATTAAATAGGTTGCTCTTATTTCTCTGCTACTGGTAATAAAAAAGCAGAATATGTATCAATTTGGAACACACAAAGCATTAGAAGTAACAGTAGAAGAGTGTATCTTATAAATATTTTCAAAAGTTTGTTTGTCCCGAAAGATTTCCGAAACGGTAAGAGCTAGAAATTTTGAACGGATTCTACTGATTTATTAACTTAAATAACTGATTGGTTAGATCTCAAAATGGGTTACTCCTGTTCCCCCAGAGCCCCAACTGGGCCCACTGATAAATAGCTTTTAGTAGCGCCTGATCATAGGCATTTGCTGGACTCTTCTGTTAAGTGTGTCACAAACTGCAACTACGAGATCCTTTCCCTCTGGCTACGAACTAAGTAGTTCATCTGTTGTCCACTAGGGAATGCATTTTGTAAGCATAGCACTAGCTATGTTAATTTCTTAAAGTAATATGATAAAAGAAAAATTATTTCCAATAAAATATGTGTTAAAGTAATTTACATAGTTCATTCACTACACCTTTTGTTAACAAGAAATGAGTTAAATGTAAATATGTTTTGTAAGCACATCACTACCTATGTTAATTTCTTAAAGTAATATATAAGATAAAACTATTTCCAATAAAATATGCTATGTTAATGTAATTGACGTAGTTCATTCGTCACACCTTTTACTATATTTTCCCCAGGCGACGCTGGGTATTTCTGCTAGTATTTAATAAAAACTAGACAAGTGAGTATACAACACAACCGTATGTAGGAAAATGAAGATTTTTTTAAAAGTCTTTTCAGTAAGAGAAGTACCCACTAGGGATGTCAACTTGAAGTAGACTACACAATTAGCCAATAACCCTGGGCTTGGACTACATGCACTCCCCCATCACTTGCTGCCTCTGTATCAGTCAGTTCCCCCAGCACCAGCTCTGTGGTGCCATCTGAGCAGCTTCTGTCTGCAGTGAGTCTGGGTGGATAGGGGAGGCTGCTCTGGAAGCCAGCCCCGGCCGCCACAAACAGGGAGTCCAAGCACACATCAGTCTGGGAACCTTGTGCCTCTGCATTTTAAATGTATTAAGAGCTGGCGGGCTCTTACTTCATTTACAACACAGAGGCGCAGCAGTCCTGGAGCCAGTGTGAGCTGGCACTGCTCAGTTCCGGGAGCCATCCGTGCTGTAGCTCTGCATTTTAAATGTAATAAGAGCATTTGGCTCTTACTACATTTATAATTAAGAGCTGCAGCGATCCAGAGCTGGCATGAGCCGGGACTGCTCTATTCTGGCCCAAGCCAGTTCTGGGAGTTACTGTGGCTCTGCAGAGCAGTTCTTATCAACTAATTGTGTAATCAATACAAACTGTATCGACTACATGATTATCCAATTACCCATTTCTGAACATCCATAGTATGGTAACTTTTCCGTCTCTTACTATTCAATTTTCCATCTTGCCAGAGTTAGTTTGGGACTAGTCCCTTACCAGACTTGAACAATTTTGGATCAAATTTTATCCTTAGATGCAGGCTTACCAATAACAAGGTCTTTAAAGGAAGCCCACTGTATGCACCTAAGGACAGAATTCATCCCTTAATAACAAGTGTAACAGTATCTCCAAGACCCTTCATTTATTAAAAAGGCATTTTCAATTTGAATTTTTCCTAAAAATACCTAGTTGTTTTAAATGTCTAGATCCTGATAAAGCATCTTGTAAAATTACATGCTCTGACTTTAATGTTTCCTTACAAAACTGTAGGTCTTTCTGAGCCTCGTCAACATTTATAAGTGTTTTTTCAGCAAGGGAGAAATTCATTAACTATACAGGGAAGCAGGGTAACTATATAGGAAGTAGTGCCAAATACACAAAATACATAAAAATATTTTCTCTCTAGCATCTTTAAGTATCAGTTTCAGAAAATTGTCTTTTTCAAGTTGAGAATGTATTTTTAAACCAAGACCTACTGTGGCTCCCTTTAGCCCACAAAAACCTATTCACTCACCTGAACAGTAGAGCTGATAGGTAAATTCCCAACAAACACAGTTCTTTGATTCTTCAACAACTCTTCAGCTTGACTAATTTGACTTTTCCTATTGCACTGTTTTACACCAATTTCATTAGCTGAACTAGCAAGGCTTTTGATGACAGCTTGAGATGTTCTGCTTTGTAGCTTCTGTTTGACTTTGATCTCTTTTTCTTTCTCTTCTTCATCTGCCTGTTCCAATGCACACTCTCTTTGGCACAAGTGAAAAATACAACTAGATGATTGTTATGAAGAGCTTTGGGTTTCAGACACAAAAGGGAAGTTCCTAATTGTAATTATTCTTAAATTACATTTAAGAATGAAACTGCACATATGCAATAACAAGACAAATTGCATTTTTTAATGGAAGGATAGAAGTGTCATTATACATTAAGACAAAAAACCACCATAATACGGAAAGTGATTATTTACCAGTGTATTGGCTGATCATTATTGTTATTTGATGAGTGTGACTGAGTAGTTAGCAAAAGTAAATCAATGTGTTAAAGATTCAAATTTCCAAGGAAAATTATTTTTCCTAGTTGTCTAACATTCAAGGCATCTACAGTACACAATCTCTTGGGGGAAGTCCTATATCGAATTACTACTAGATTTCATCCTATCCAAGACAACCTTTTTGGTATATGTGACAAATAACTGACATCTATTCAGTTTAAAAGCAACTTCTCATACATTACAAATTACATAAGCAGAAACAGCAAATCTAAGATTGCACATTTGTATATATAGGCTGTCAGTTAAAGATGCAACAGAAATATTAGATAGCACACATCAGTGGTCCCAAACACGGTGCCCGTGGGCACCATGGCACCCGCGGGGGCATTTGTGTGCGCCCGCCAAGTGCTCGGGGCTGGCCCCGCCCTGGGCGCATGGCGCATGCGTGGTTCCGGAGCCGGCCCTGGGCGCATGGGGAGCGCCAGCCCTGGGAACGCGGCGAATTGGCCACCCGCGCCCCGGATGCACGGCACATAGGGAGCACCGGCCCCGGGCACACGGCAAATTGGCCACCCTGACCCCCGGGTGCGCGGCTATGGGGGGGGCGCCGGCCCCGGGAGCGCAGCAAATTGGCATCCTTGCCCCTGGGCAC